CAAAAACAAAGTTGCTGGAAAAGCTCAGCAGGTCTGGCAGCATCTGTGGAGGAGAAAACAGTTAACGTTTAGGGTCCGGTGACCCTTCCTCAAAACTGATGGTGGCTGGGAAAATGTCAGTTTATTACATGGTGGAGTAGTCTCAAAAGAGCAAATGACGTACTTTATGCCCCTATTTCTGCAAAGAATGGATTTATGTTTATATAACATGCTGGATATGTAGAATTGCGGATGGTCTATTTCAGTGACATTGTAGGAAATTGATAGCAACATTGTGTGCAGGAATGGGAAAGTAGGAGCAGGAGGAAGCCTTTCAGCCCTTCAAACGTGTTCTGCCATTCATCCAACTTCAGTGCCTTGTTTTTGCTTTTTTCTCTATACCCTTTGATCCCATTAGTTTGAAGAACTGTATCTAATCCCCTTAAAACCTTCAGTGTGTTGGCTTCAACCACTTCTTGTGGCAGAGAATTCCACAGGCTATGTATTCTTTGGGCGAAGAAATTCCTTCTGGTAATTTTGATCAAGAAACTGTGGCTTAACAGCTAGCTTAAGTGGTAATCTGTCAATCTTGCTTTGGACAAATAGGTAGCTTTTGATGTAACAAAGAACTGCGGAAGCTGGAGATCTGAAACAAAAAAACAGAAATTGCAGGAGAAACTGAGCAGCACTCTGAAGAGTCACCAGACTTGAAATGTTAACTCTGCTTTCTTCCCACAGATGTTGCCAGTTTTGCTGAGTTTCTGTTTTTAAGTAGTTTTTTATATTGAGTATTTATTACCCACTCACTCACTGGTACTTTCTTTCTAAAGATGACTAAATGTGACAAATTTGCTGAACTGTGCAGAAATATAGCTGGCTATTTTTCAAACCAAAATTACTGAAATTACTTGCATGTAAACAAAAGTGTATTCTCATATAAGAATAGAAATACCATTTTTAAAAAAAAAAACCTGCTTGTAGTGGCCAGAATTAAGTTTTAGTTTATTTCTCTTTTGAGCAATCCTGCTGATGCTCCTTTTTGAGCAATTTTGATGAAGTGGAAATTCTTTTAATCATTCAGAATACTAATGTGTATTGTTTGTTGTTGTAGGTATATGATGCTTATTGATGGCAAGGATGAAGTATACATGATTGACAGAGACAATTCGGCGTTTCATGTAGCAAACCTGGAGTTTCCTCTTCGGAAAGATCTGCGTCTTCATTTGACTAGCACCCTTTTGGATGGGGTAAGAAAGCTTTTTGCCTTTTTTAGTGACAATATTTTTGACAAAAGTACATTACTGTTGTTTTTTTCCATATTGTCATTCATTTTCTTTAAGTGACAATAAAAGGATCGAAAAGGATTCTAATTACTGATGAAATACTTTTGAAGTGTGGCTGCTGTTGTAATATAGGGAAATTTGAGCAAAGGAATGTCTAACAAATTTCAGTGAGATTAACAACCAAGCAGCAAAATACTATAGCTGCAAGAGATCTGAAATAAAAGCAGGAAGTATTTGAGAAATTTCTTGGCATCTGTGGAGAGAAAAACAGAATTTCTGTCTTGGATCCAGTTTGACTTTTCTTCGGCATTCATGAGAGAGGGATGAGTGTCGAGTTTTATGCTGTTGGAAGAAGGTGAGGTGGAGCAAGTTGAACAGAAGGGCAGTTCAAGGAATGGTGAAGGGGCTAGGGAGCTTAGATATGAGAAATGTCATAGAATAAAAGCTAAAGAGTGTTAATAGCTATTGTAAAGGGATAAAGCATAGTTCTAGAGTAGGTGTTAATAGCAGAATAATTAGGTCTGGCAGGAAACAAAACATGAAAACAACTTGTAGTTCTGGGGGTAGGATGGTATATCAAAATGGAGGACTGAGTTAATGGTCTGAAGTTGTTGAAGTCAGTGTTGAGTCTAGAAGGCTGTGAAGTGCCTGTTTGGAAGTTTAGGTGCGCTTTCTCAAACTTGCATTGGGTTTCACTAGAACACTGTGGCAGGCCTAGGATAGAAATATGAATATGAGAACACGATGGTGTATCGAAATGGCAAGCAACTGGAAGGTCAGGCTCATGCTTGCAGACCAAGCAGAAACAATCATTCAATCTGCATTTAGTCTCTGCCCTGTGGAGGAGACCGATATTAAACAGTGCCACACTTCCATCTGTTTCTTCACTTTCAAAGAATCATATTTGACTTGAAATGTCAACTCTGTTTCTCTCCATGATACTGCCAGACAATCTGTCTATGACGTTGCTTGAGAGATGAGTATTGGCTTGGATGCTCAGGTTTCCGTAATATGACTTGAACCTCACAACATGATGGGAGTACCATTACTCCATCAAGTTTGGCACCTAAAATATTTTAGGTTGATCCCGAACCCTCCTGTGTGCTGTTTAATTTTCTCTTTTAAATTAACTTTTTCAGATGTGTCTTTTTGCATTAATTTCTAAATGTCATTAATCAAAAATCATCGTAGAGGGTATACACTTTTATTTTAAAAGTGAGGGGAGAAAATTAGAAGGAATGGAAGCATAGCTAGACAAAAACTCTGAGTCGTCAAGCTGAAGCCAATGTATCCTGACTCTTGTGCAGGACTGAAGTGCAAACTTTTATAACTACAGTGAAGAATACCATGCAGTTCACTGTTTGCCAATTATATGCGGTGTAACTGAAGTTTGGGCTCAATTGGAAGGCTGACAAAATTGAAATGTCATCGTGATCAATGCGACTGTCAATTTGTGTGGGGTGTAAGCATGCTGTAGCTACTGGCTTGTGTATTACTGGAAATGAATCTAATATGTGAACAGCAGCAGGTGGCACAGATGGGATGGCTGTTGAGCCTGACCCCTTCCAAAAATCACTGCACTAATGTTTGTATTAACTAAAGAGAATATAAAGCCAACATTACAAGTAGAGAAACTTATACTTTTTTTTCTTGATTTAATACTTCCAATTGTGTGAATATTGATATTCAAATCAATTGTTCCTTGGTATGAATGTTTGCATACTTCAAGCGGTAAATAATTTTTTTCCTTTGCTATAATAGTAATTACATTTTCAGGTTTTAATTGGGACTATTCTGGGTCAATGAGCTGCTTGCTTTGCTCTTGATAATTTTTCAGTTTGCATGTAGAAGAAATACATAATGCACGTCCAGTTGTACATTTGTTGAAACACCTGGATGCCATATTATGAAGTGGTAGGTTGCATGTTTAGTCTCCTACTCTGCTAATGTACATGCCAGAGGGGTAAAAGACTATTTTCTAAATGAGAGGGCACTGATTTATTGTCTGTAAACCATTCTTGTGTTGATGGAGGATGAGTGCAAGATTTAGTGAAATCTGTGAAATCCTTTCTGGGCTTTTGGAGGAATGCAGTACTTTCTCTTGTTAATTACTGTTGTCAGCAGCTGTGTAGAAGAATATAGAAGTACAATGACAGTGCTGTGCTACGTAGTCGCTACTTTGAAATTCTTAGCAAGAACAGTTTGGGTTGTTTTTCATATTGAGAATCATTTTACATTGTCAACATTTTCAAGTACTTTAGATTTCCAGTTTTTGTTTTGCAACTAGCAAAAGCATAGACAAACTCACAATTAACTTTATTTGCTAACTACTGGATTGACATGACAGTAACAGCACAAATAGCAAATCACATTACTGACATGTAAAGCTGGGCATTAGTAACATGAGAAAGCCATTTGTGTTGTTACCTTCAACGCTGTTACCCCCACATTAGGGTAATAAAGAATGACCATCCAGTGAGAAATGAAACTGCATAATTTGTAAAATTTATCAATGTTAAGCTGATTGATGTATTTACATTCGTGAACAATTCTGAAGTAGTGACCAGTTACAGCTTAATGATGAATTATCTGTGTTCCATTGCTGTATTTTAGGAGCTTGTTTTTGAAAAGTGAATGGAAGACAGTGTCTTTGATTTAGACAGCTACTAAACAACCTAATAATGAGTACCAGAAAATAATGTGTATGTATGTTGTGAGGGGATGTGGTACATTCAGTGTCATTTTGGTTTGTACTGGTATGAATTCATGGAAATTCGTTATTGTAAGCTGACTGTAGTGTAAGTAGCATTTGAATAGTTAATTTTTGAATGCTTGTCTACCAAATCTCTAAATGTAAAGATGTTAAATCTACTTGTTTATCTTTTTGTATTTCTAGGAAATGATCATTGACAAAGTAGATGGAAGACCTGTTCCTCGGTACTTGATTTATGACATAGTAAAGTTTAGTGTAAGTACCAGTTTTTGATGTACAATTATTTCTTTAACGCCACTGTTATTTAATTTCTGACCATGTGGTCGGTTGACAGAATTCAGTTAAGATTTATGTGTTGAGCGCTAATGAGTGGAACATAATGTGAATTTCAAGTTGGAAAAGCATTTGAAATGCTTAAAATGTGCTTCATGTCTTCCAGTACACTTGTTTTACCTTTTGTATCTGCAAGTGAGAACATGAGACATTAAAATTTAATGTTCCACGAAGAAAAACAATCCCAATCGGAAAGACTTCCATGCGAAATGGGTAATGCGCATCATCACTGCAGTTTGAACTGCCTCAAGTTGAATTGTCTGATATGCTATTTTTCCAACAACTGCTTTTTTTTTTAAACATAACTTTTTATTTTGAGGCATGACAGTGATACAGCTTGTAGGGGACAGTGGCTCAAGGGACGGATATGTTATTGACCTTGAGGTAATTGAGGACTGGATAGATTGTGATGGTCAGCATGATTGTTTTAGTCTGATCTCATTGCAATTACTTGGGGAAGACAAGAGTTTTCCATATAATTTAGTCAGATATCAATTTTGGACCTCAAGGATCAAAACCTGACTCTGCTAAGTGATTAGTACGAGTCAGATAATTTAATCATGAAAGATTATGCTAAAATTGTCTTTGCTGGAGTATAAATACTGTAGCATTCTTAATTTTATTTTAATCACTTGTGGCATGTGTGAATCGCTGGCTGGCCAGCATTTATTGCCCGTCCCTAGTTGCCCTTGGGAAGTTGGTGGTGAGCTGCCTCCCTTAAACTGCTGCAGGTTGGCCCACAATGCCCTTGGGGAGGGAATTCCAGGATTCTGACCCAGTGACAGTGAAGGAATGGTGATATATTTCCAAATCAGGATGCTGAGTGGCTTGCAGGGAAATGTATAGCTGGTAATGTTTGAAACAAGGCTGTAATGAAGACAGGAGCTGAATGTCCCTGGCAGAGACCAAACTGGGCGCCACTGAGCAGGCTATTGCTGAGCAGGTGCTTGATAGCACCGTTGATGATGCCTTCTATCACTTTAATGATGATTGAGAGTAGGCTGATTGGGGCAGTAATTGGCCAAGTTGGATTGGTCCAGCTTTTTTGTATAGAGGACAATTTTCCATGTTGTCTGGTGGTTGCCAGTGTTGTAACCGTACTGGAACAGCTTGGTGACGGGAGCAGCAAGTTCTGGAGCACGAGTCTTCAGTACTGTTGCTGGAATGTTGTCAAGGCTCATAGCCTTTGCACTATCCAGTGTCTCTGACTGTTTCTTAATATCACATGGGGTGAATCGACTTGGCTGAAGACTGGTATCTTTAATGCTGGGGGCCACTGGAGGAGGCTGAGATGGGTCATTGATTTGACACTTGTAGCTGAAGATTGCTGCGAATGCTTCGGCCTTATCTTTTGCACTGCTGTGTTGGGCTGCTCCATCATTGAGGATGGGGATATTTGTGGAGCCTCCTGCAGTGAATTGTTTAATTATCCACCACCATTCATAATTGGAAGTGACAGGACTGCAGAGCTTAGACTTGATCCGTTGGTTGTGGAATCTCTTAGCTCTGTGTATCACTTGTTGCTTATGCTATTCGGCATGCAAGTAGTCCAGTTTGGTAGCTTTGTGAAGTTGACACCTCATTTTTAGTTATGTCTGATGCTGCTCCTGGTATACCCTCCTGCACGCTCTATTGAATCAGGGTCGGTCTCCTGTCTTGATGGTAATGTTGTTTGAGTAATATCCTGGGCCGTGAAGTTGCACATTGTGTTGGAGTACAATTCAGTTGCCGTTGATTACCTGCAGCGCCTCATGGATGCCCAGTCTGTGTTACTAGATCTTTTTAAAGTCTGTCTCATTTAGCACAGTGATAGTGCCATGCAACATGGAGGGTATTCTCAATGTATGCCAATATTTTACAAAATTCAAGATATCATGAAACTACCCCCTCAACGATAGTTTTGAAATATACATAAATTCAATAGTTAAGCAGATCAAAATATATGCTGTTTTAGCTGCTATTTGTTTAAGTGATGCCGCAGCAACCATCAAGGATTTATTTAACATTTTGAAATGGACATCCTGGAGATGAATTTTTGTAAGTACATGAACAGCTGGAGTTGAAAAAGCAATTTCTGTTGTTGCCAGAGGTTTAGAATAATAATGATGGATGTAAGAAAGTGAAAAATGTGTGGTTTTAGGATTTTGTGTTTTGAGAAAATTGAGATAGGACAGATTACAAATGTGTTTAGTAGCACCACTTTTTTACAATATGCTGTGAGGTTATTAAATCCCACAGAGACAGAAAGGAAAAAAAAAGATCACTCTGCTCTCCAAACGACGTGCTGACTGCTTCTGAGATGCTCTTGGTGTCTCTACTTCTCCTTTCTTTTACCTTTTTATGGATTTTCTGTTGATGTTCTTTACGGTTGATCATAGTTGAGCACCATTTTTTGAAGACACTTGGAAGGAAAATACTACTAATTTGTAAATCTGAACTGAAAGCAAAATAAATGTTGGGACAACAGGTCAGGCAACATCCATGACCAGACGAGTTAATGCTTCAGATAGCTTTTAGTGTGAAACATTAACTCTGTTTCTGTCTGCACCGGTTGAAAGCCAAATCTGCTGAGTATTTCTATTGTTTTCTTTTTTTATTTCACTTTGGAGATGATTTATTTGGATTCTGTAAAGCTAGTGCCTGTGAAGTAGCTTCACAATTTCTATGAACTGGGCCTGAAGAGTGAAACCAGGTGAGCTAGAATGAACAGTTTAAGCAATAAAATCTGGTTCATCAACACTGGGTTAAAATGACACCATGCTTAGGTTTGTTGGTTTTTTGTTGCGTACTAATGAGTCCATATCCCTTGGGCCAGCCTGATGTAGTCATTATGATGCCTAGCAAAGCTCTGTGCTTGAATAGTGAAATGTTTTGTTTTTATATCTCAATAAATGAGGTAAATGATGCTTGTTTGAAGAGCTTGATACCTGAATAGCTGCCTTTTGCAACGTAACAATTTTGGGTGATTCTGAGAGTTCCAGATCTTGGGGCCTAGGCAACTGAAGACATAGTCATCAGCAGTGGAGCAATTCTAGTTGGAATTGTGCAAGAGGCCAGATACTTTAAAATTAAGATCGTGAGCCGCTGTGGGTCACTGAACACAGGGTGTTGGGGGCAAGGGACTTGTTATGAGTGACGACATGGACAATCAAGTTTTGGATAACTTTGAGTGTGGCGAGGGCAGAATGTGGAAGACTAGTCAACTGTGCATCAGAATAGTTGAGTCTCCGGGTAACGAAGGCCTGGATAAGGGTTTCAGTAACGGATAGCTCAGATATTGTGAAAGTGAGTGGTGTTCGAAGTAGAAATAGGCAGTCTAAGTGCAGCCATGAATTTGAGGTTGTGAACAGACTTGTACAATCTCAGATTGTCATCGGGGAGAGTAATGGAGTTGGTAGCAAGGGAACAGACTTTTGAAGTGTTTGGGAAGACTAAAGCAGTTGCTCCAGTGTTCAGTTGGAGAAAATCTCTGCTCATTCAGTACTGGATATAAGAAACAACACCCAGATAAATGAGCAATAGTGGAGGAGATGAGAGAGATGGTCATATTGTCGAGTTGAGGATCCATCAGCATACATGTATCTCTGAGATTCACCTTTGTATATGTCAAACCAGGGCTCCCTGATTGGGGCTGTTAATCTGGTCCAATCAGGGAACTTGTATTCGGTGAGCTTCAGCTGGCCGACCTCGTTCCAATGACTATAATCCCAGTCCCAATGCTTCCTTTTTCACATGTAGTCAAGAACAATCAATTAATACATATTATTTATTTATTCAAACCATGTAATTAATTTGACATGAACACCTGGATTTTTGGACCTTCCTTGCTAGTCCTTTAACATGTCCCCTACCACACATTTTAAAGATATATGAAAGACATTTGCAGCACTCAATCAGTTTATTCCAATGACAGCCGAAAAAGAGCAGTCCAGCCTAATCCCACTATGCACCTCCTGGTCCATAGCCTTGCAGACTACAGTTTGGAATACAGTATTTGAAGTGCATGTTCATGTACATTTTAAATATAAAGAAGATACCTGTCTCCTTCATATGGTGATGAAAGTTTACAAGATATTATTTGGGAATTTGATTCTAGAGTAGAAGTTTTTTTTTTGTTTTAGTTCTGTGCAGGTGACTTGCTTTATAAGGGTCAAGAACTTTTTTGAGCAGTGGATCAAAACAACAATTCCAAAAAAATCATGTGTCTTTAGCTTAATGAAAAAAGAAGCTATCTGGTGAGATAATTGCTTAAGTGTTTACTAAATTGAGCTTTTTGTGACCTACAAAAAAACAGAGCGCCACATTTTACAAACAGGCTGAATTCAGATGAACAGCTTCATCCCAGTAGAAATGTAGCCTAATTTTGGTTGAAGTCGAAGGCTGTCCTAGCAGCCCTTGATTTTATTCAGAGTCATAGAGATATACAACACGGAAACAGACTCTTCGATCCAATTCGTCCATGTTGAGCAGATATCCTGTACAAATCTGGTCCCATTTGCCAGCAATTGGCTCATATCTCTCTAAATCTTTCTTATTCATATACCCATTCAGGTGCCTTTTAAATGTCGTAATAGTACCAGCCTCAGGCAGCTCATTCCATACACGTAGCACCCTTTGCGTGAACAAGTTGCCCCTTTAGGTCCCTTTTTAAAATCTTTCCCCTCTGACCTTAAACCTATGCCCTTTAGTTTTGGACACCCCACCCCAGGGAAAAGACCTTGCCTATTTACCCTATTCATGCCCCTCATGATTTTATAAATCTCTATAAGGTCACCCCTCAGCCTCTGAAGCTCCAGGGGAAATAGCCTCAGCCTCTCTCTATAGCTCAAAGCCTCCAACCCTGGCAACATCCTCATAAATCTTTTCTGAACCCTTTCTAGTTTCACAACGTCCTTCCTGTAGCAGGGAGACCGGAATTGCAT